TGTTGTGTGTAAATGAACGGCCGAACGTTTCACGTGGTGTAAACGGGGCCTCAGACTGTCAATCAAGAGACAAATTTCATAGATGGATGATCGGCTGACGTCTATGTTTTAATACCATGTGATCTACCCATAATGCCTTTGAGATTGACTGCTAGATTAAGATCGATGTGTTGGGCACCCCTGTTTGTTCTCTCAGTTATTACCCATTTGATAACACCGTGACCTTTAATTGTGACATGACAAGATAAAGTGAAAAACTTTACCGTCCAAACAGATTTACCACAACAACATTCCCCCCATATGGATGGGAGAATCCAATGCAGCAGCAAATCTCAGTTTTCAAAAATATCCAGATGAGGTCTTAGACTCTGAAGCTCTAAAAGGTCAACAGCTCAGCTTGATTTCATGAGCTCTGAGTAAAGTTGATGAACTAAATATCAACTTCTTCACAAATACTTTTTAAAATCTAGCTGGTCTGCAACTTTTGGCAACTAGTTGGTGAAGTATATTCAGGAAGGAGTCTCCAAAATGTCTCAAAATGTTTGCTGCATTACCAAGGCTCTTCAAACAATTTGCAAGACAAAGTTTCGATGAAAATAATTGCAGAGTTGTGCCCTGTTGAACTATTATTAGTTTATCCAACTCATCTCCTAACGGTGACGTTCCACCAGTGGGATAGCGCCTTAAACAATAAGCCTACTTTGATGTTTGAAGACAATCTGGCTGCTTCTGGGAAAACTATTGTTTACAGGTTCTACCCCCAGCTGTCCTTGCAAAAAAATTAATCAAAATCTAACCAGAACCCTGAAGCAGAGCAGTGTTTTGTATTTTGGGTATGTGTGTTAAATTATTATTTGCCCAGTAAAATACAATATAAAACATGTTTAAATAGTCTTTGTGCTAAATAAATAAACATCAAATGTCATTTTCAGTGCTATAAAATTTTACTATAAAGTTTACTTTTTGTAATGAAATATTAAACTGGTGATCGAATGATGTCAGCATTGTCTTGACTACAGAAAAGGAGTGAGGAAATGTGCAATATTCAGCAAATTACAATTTTATGTTGTTCTCATGTTGTGCAGCCCTGGTTTTATTAGGTTTTAAAACTGACGTTTCTGAGAAGCCGAAATAGCTGATAACTCTGTTCCAGCTACTAATTACATGTAAAGCCCATTATACAGGATGAAATATGAAATTACTTATTATTCTGGTACTATAATAGTATTACCAATATTATTACAACAGTATCATGACTAGGAAAGTCCACAAGACTCCAAAAGAAAGGCCAGAGCTGCCTATACTGCCTAAGGACCATGGAAACATCTGCTGATCCTATCGAACTGATCCTCCTTCTTTTTTTTAAATCTTTTTCCATCCACCCATTATCTTTACCCGCTTCTTCATTTCTGGGTTGTGGAAAACGTTACTGGTGGCCCATATCCAGTGGTCACTGTTAGAAAGGTTTTATATTTTTACAATAATTTCCTTAATCGTATATTCAGTCCCTCACCAACAAATACAAAGTACCTTCTATTTACGAAATGTATAGAAAAAATATTATATACAGTATATATATACACAGTATATATGTATATACATATATATACAAAGTATATATATATAATATATATAATGTATGTATATATATATATATATACATATATATATA